AGAATAATAAGGAGCGTAAAAGCAAAGGACGCAAGTATAGCGATTGAAAGTATACAATGTGTTGTATGTGATGAAGAGGTTAGGCATGAAGAAACTTGGGACCATGGTGTACATAAGTGTACCAGTGCGACAGTAATACCAGTTACCTTGTATTGTAGTTGTAATCAATACATTGTTTGTTTTGTAGGCGGTTCACTCTTTAGTGGCCGAACTCCTCCGTGTTGAAATTGTTCTCTTTTATTGTTTTGCATCAACGTTGTTATAGCATGGTTGTCTTCGCAATTAAGGGCATAAGGCTGGTCCAACACATTAAGTGCGGTGGATCCCCGTTATCCCCACATTGTCTTCGCTCCTCGTAGATACCAAAACCTATCACCTGGAGGTCACAGATTTGTCAAACAATATCTGTTACCTATGTAGGTCTTTGGATCATGCCGCCCGAGCCCTTAAATTGGACAACACACATTACACTCACCAAATAAACAACTTATTGATCACTCATTAACTTTTATCACAAATGATGACATACACAATAGACACAAAATGAATCTCACCAATCCCCTACATCTCCCATGCATATGGGGGATTTCTCAAGCCTGAAAGGGAAATAATCTAATAAATCGGAGATCAAACAAATGGAAATCAACTCATTAATATGACAAAGATCCGCAATAAGATGAATGATTAAACAAGTCTTGAACTCAAAGTGAATACAAATAGAGTTACAAACCTTAATCTTACAACTTGGAATCTCTCTCTCTCTCTACGGTGATGTTTGCGTCGAATGAAGTGGGGTTGTAGCAGAAGAGACGAAATGGATCTTCGGGAGTCTTCCTTCTTCGGATCTCTTCTTTCTTTTTTCTGGTGGTTGTGGCAACAGCTCCTTTCGGTATCCCTCTGCCTCCCCTTCACGACAATTACTTGTATAGTCCAGGGGGAGGCGGCGCCGTGTGGTATGACCACTGGTACGAGCGGGCACACTCGTACTAGACACCGTCTTTGATCTGGTGCCTCTGATGAATATGCTCCCAAAAGGGAAGTTGCTCCATTTAATTTCATTTGTTGGGATTTTGATTGGTTTCCTTCCAACAGCATATAATTACGCACATAACTAAGACAACAAAAAATTCTTCTTTCTCGAAAGATTACCGTTATTTCGCAAAAAAAGAAAGAAAGATTAGCGTAAGGAAAATATGAGAATTGATGAAAACCTTTTGAAAACCCCATCAAAATACCCATGTAAAAGTAACCAAATATCATGCCATCAACTTCCCCAAGCTTAAGTCTTGCTCGTCCTCAAGCAACCAAGAAATAAGAAGAACGAAAGGAAGATTGACAAATGAGTAAAATGGTTTACCGGCTTGTGAAGGGGTAGTATATCCATTCTCACAAATCCTGCAATATTAATTAAGAGAATACTTCATTTGAATGGTTGCACTTAAACTTGCTGCCTAGCCGCAAATAGTTTCATAGCACTAGTTCTAGCTCACAAAATAAACCTTGATAGATAAATAAGGGTAGAGCAAGCGAAAAGATATTCTCTCACAAGAATGGATTTTCGCATCTTGGCTCTTTTTTAAAACATAAACATGAGCTAGGGGTTTTGGTAGAAGAAAACATAGTACTCAAGTATGTCATTAACACCCACTAGGACCACTTAATCATGTCTCTCAAGTACTTCCTTCAGTTATTGTCCATCGGAACTTCTATCTTTGGTGACGGAATTATGCCAAACAAATGATACATGCATATTGAGGGTTTTCGCTATGGCATAAGTTGAATATTATGGACCAAAGATCGTCTCTTTCGAGTGCATCAATCAATATTCGGTATTACCGCATACACACACTCTCAAGAGAAAGCCGAATAATATTCGCTGCAGTGTTGCCATTGCGAACATTAACCAACTCATAGCTGAGATCCAAGCAAAAACTCTGGTGGATCGTTCATTGGCCAATGGAGCCGTCAGCATAAACTCGAGCGGGGTGATGACATCAAGCAACATAAGTGACATGCCATGAACACGCATAAAGCTATATACCATGCATTGCAAAACTGTTTTTTGGCATAATCTCGATCACCTCAAATTTCCATTCCTCTAGACAACTCTATTAGTAGGTACTATCAAGTCAATCAAATTAAGTCTTATGGAGTTGAGTGTCTTAAGTGCTAGTTCTCTTCAAATTATGACCGCAAAATATATTTCTTCCCAATTTTACAAAATTAAACAATGGTTAACATCAAAGTTTCACTTGCAAGACCCAGAATGGGAGCTAGAACTAACTGATATTCAACTAACGTGGGGAACGAAGCTTAAGTGCAACCAACCGAATAAAAGTATTGACTTAATTAAATTTGTGAGAAAAGTAAGTATGCATATATTATACCTGCTCGCGTTGGCTTGCTCTTTTCTCAACACGACTAGGCAAAATATTAGTGAGATGCGCAACAGTAAGAAAAGCTTCATCCCAAAATTTTAGTGGCATGGATGCGGCAGCAAGCAAGGCGATGATGCCATCTATCCAATAACAGTTTGATGACACCGAGGACTTGTTTATTGAACCTCCTAAACTTGGGAATCAATGTGTATAGTCCATCCACACATCTGCCGTGATAAATGATTTTCTTTGTGACCCGATCCTTGATCAAAATGAAAAATGGGTGAAATTATAGAAACACATTATTGTCAAGGGCAATACGCATGGATTGAAATAAGATTTTTGGAGGTACTAGGAACATGTAGGACACTGTTTAGATGAATTTCACGATGAGGGATTTTAATAATTGAATTATCAACGTGATCTATCCTCTCACCTGCACCGTCTGCGTTGTGAACTTGCTGTTAACCGTGGTATCTTTCATGCATGGTGATTTTCTCGATCTTGCCAGTGATGTGATCCATGGCAACAGAGTCCATGTACCAACTTGTGTCTACCCCGTATGATGTGTCTACGGCAGCCACAACTTTTTGTTTGCGTGCATTGTCCTCGGCATAGCGCCAGAGACAATTTTAGCAATATGGCCCCTTTTTAGAAGAGATAGAAAGATAAGAGGATTCTCCCTAACAACTTCTAGAGATAAAAGCCTTGCAACACAACGATACATATGTAACGTGGCAATGAACTATATGTTTAGGAAATTTCAAATCTTGAAATCTATACAAGTGTTCAATTTGATTGAATTGTTCATTGCAAACCTCTTATATTGACATCTACACCATTATTTAAGCTTGGGCCTCATGTCAGATATTTTCATCAGTGTCATGCACGCTATATATAGACACACACACACACACACACACACACACACACACACACACTAAGACCCTTCCCAGTGCTCCATGGTGGACAGGTGCTAAGCATGCCACGTAAGCAAAAAAATGACATGGCACAACAATTAAGGAGGAGAGAGAGCACTTTGGTGACCCCAGGAAGAACCAATGCCAAGCGCGTGAACCTAGGCAAACCACTTAAATGAAGCAACTTGACCAATGAATGAAAGGCTTTAGGTGTTAACTCATTAAATATGGTGTGCTTAGCAACAACAAGTTAAGCACCTATGCATTGGGGAGCTGGGTTGCTAAGGTATTTAATGCGCTTAACACCTCATCTAAGCACCTTTACATTGAAGGAGGTCTAAATAGTTGATCCCCACCAATTCTAATTCTCTCAACATGCAACTATGCCAACTCAGCATGCTGTCATGCATGGAACACACATTTTTAATACAACTATATCAACTCACCATGCAAACAGGCATGAAAAGGATCCACATTTAAAATGCACCATGCATGCTACTCATATTCAATAAATATTTTATAACTATGCAATTATTTACTTTAGTTTCTATTCTCGTATTATTAATCTAAATACTAATATTTCATACAACCAAATCACATTGAAATCATTGTAATCGATTTCCGCAGCAACACGCGGGTCATCTCTAATTAATCCTAGCACACGAACAAGATGCCTTCGGTCGATCCCATACATGGATCACATTGTATAAGTCAACTGCACGCCCGGCGATCGATCGATTAATTCCAATTTAATTATTCATACACCACTCCCTAATTAATGATTTTGATCGAAGGTCATCCTGAAAAAACATAATTTGGAATTTTTTTTGACAAGGATGTACTAAGTGTTGCTTTTGTAGTGATGAAGAGTCGATTCAACATCTATTCCTTCACTGTCCACTTGCCAAGCTATTATATAGTGATCTGTTCATATAGCTTTCAATCTACCACCGCCCACGAGTAGTAAGAATATGTTTGGAAATTGGTTACTAGGGTGCATCCGAAGTCAAAGTGTCAGAATCGTGTGGGAATTTGCACTTTACTTTGTGTCATTTGGAACATTCGTAATGATTGTATTTTTAATATAATCAAAGTTTTTTTTGCAGGTTATCTTCAAGGCCATCAGCTGGATTCATACGTGGTCGTTACTACGCAAGGGTGAGGATAGGGCATCGTCTTTGGGTGCAGCCGATGTGAGATGGTCGCTCGGGGTTTATCCAATCAACTTGGTTGGCGGCCTACTAATAAGAATTGTGATGCATGAGACTCATGTCTCTATGATTTTATTTTATTTTTCTAATTTACCTTTGGGGCAGCAGCTATGTGTGATAGCTTTTGTTGAAATTTATTGTCGTTGGATGTTGAACTTACATAATCAATACAAGATGTGCGCGTCACTCGATGCATGCAGAGGCCAAGGGGCATCCCTCTTTTTTTTCCACGAGCTCCATTTTGCAAGCGACACAGAACTTTGACAACACCGATCGATCGAAGTCGTCGTATCCGGCCGATGGGTACGGAGGATTTCAAAATGTTAGAGCTCACATCGTGATGAAAAAGATGTGGCTAACGGAAGGTGGCTAGGCGCTACGTAGGACATTACAAATAGCCTTCCAGCTGAAGTCCGGCCGGGCAGCAGGGTAGAAACTGATTGAGTCTAGCTCGAGGTCGAAACCATTACTTTCCATCCACATACACCACAATGGCGGTGGCGTCGACTCCGCCTCTGCAGCTTGTCGTAGCCGCGCTTCTTGCGCTGTCCCTGTCCACTACAGCGTCCTCGTCGCCTGCGCCGGCGAACCGGAGCAGCTGCTACAAGCGTCTATTCAGCTTCGGCGACTCTCTGACCGACACCGGCAACTACATCATCCACTACTCCAACGCGTCAGGGCCCGTCCTAGCGCTGCCATACGGCGAGACCTTCTTCGGCCACCCCACCGGCCGATGGTCCGACGGCCGCCTCATCATCGATTTCATCGGTAAGTGTATGGACGTGGACGACACGTCGACATCTACTTAGTACTTACATGCATGATGCATGACAATTGTTTCGCGCAGTGGAGAGGCTGGGGTTCCAGTACTGGCCGGCGTACCTGAAGGGGGCAGCCGGGAAGTCGCCGGCGGAGGAATTCCGGTACGGCGCCAATTTTGCGGTTGCGGCCGCCACGGCGCTGAGCCAGGATTTCTTCCTGAAAAAGAACGATGGACCTGCTTACCCCGAGCCCGATCCCCCCTTACTCCCTCGGCGTCCAGATCGACTTGTTCAAGAAAGTGCTCGCCATGATTGCCTCCACGGACCAAGGTAACGTGTACCACATAAGTAGAACAAAACCAGAGCAATTAAGTGCACGCATGGTGCCATGGCTACGCAAACGCGCTGACCATACTATCTCCTACCATATCATCACCGCATCACGGCCATGCAGAGAGGAATGAGGTGATGGCGAGCTCGCTGTTCCTGGTGGGGGAGATCGGCCTCAACGACTACAACCACCCCTTCTTGCAGAACAAGACCATGGAATGGGTCAGGCCCCTCGTGCCCCAGGTCATCAGGTCCATCGTTCTGTCCATCGAGGCTCTGATCGAGCTGGGCGCCAAGACCATGTACGTGCCGGGCATCTTCCCGCTGGGGTGTACCCCGCTGTACCTCTCCCTCTTCCCCGGCGACGACCGCGACCCTGCCACGGGCTGCATCCGGGGGCTCAACGACCTCATCCTCGTCCACAACCACATGCTGGAAGCCAAGCTCGAGGAGCTCCGCCGCGACCACCCCAGCGTGTCCATCACCTACGTCAACTCCTACGACAACGTCCTCGGCCTCATCACAGCGCCCACACAAAACGGCAAGCCCTAGAAAGAATCCTACCATGGCAACACATCATGTCCAGAATGGCTTTGATCTTACTGTATATTTTCGTGCTGTGCATGACAGGCTTCGACAAGGAAATGGTGCTGGAGGCGTGCTACCCCGTCTTCATTTCCGGGTCGGCGGCGGTGCCGTGCCTGGACCCCTCGAGGCACGTGAATTTCGACGGCCTGCACATGACGGAGGCGGCGTACAAGCTCATGGCCCGCGGGATGCTCGACGGCCCGTTCGCCGCGCCGCCTATCATGTCCACATGCAACCACAGCTGCTAGACCTATGTCTTGCTTTGGCAAATGATCTAAGATGCTGCTTTTTGCATCTGATTGTCAAAAGTGTCATCGATAATAATATTAGATCATATGGTGGTGCGCGTTGCAGCACCTCCGTTTTTCCAATAAATTAATAGCATTTTCTGTAATATATGAACAAATATAAGAATGTCTAAACGCTTTTATATAGTAGTGATCTAAACGCTCTTATATTTTTTTTACGGAGGGAGTATATTATAAGAAGAAACGATAGTTTCGTTATTATATGGATATGACAAATTACAACCTGGTGTAAACTAGCACTCCAGCTAAAGATTTGTTTTGAAAGGAGCGCTACTCTGCATTCCATTAGGTAGATATGTTGGACAGATCTCCAGCGCATAGGTCGACTATAGAATGAGGTAATTGACCAACCAAAACATTTGGTTGCCATCCCTTAACAGAGCGCCATGCCCTTCTAACTCATGCGCTAAGAGAGAGCAAGAAACGGGGCCACAACTCTTCTTCAAGTGTCGTTACACTCTTAGGCTTTGAAGATCTATCATCGAGAAGCTTGGGCTACCTCACGTCAACATTCCCGATTGGCATCTTGATGAATCCGTCAAGGAGTGGTGGGTCAAGCGTACCGATGACCGAAACCCGAATTGGCATGCCATGTCCTCTCTCGTCATGCTCACCTCTTGGACCATTTGGAACGAGCGAAATGCTAGGGTATTTCGGCAAAAATTTGCGCCACCACCTATTCTCCTCCAAACCATCATTGGTGAGGCAAAGTTATGGGTTACTGCCGGCGCCAAGAAGTTAGGGACTATCATTGTATGTGAGTAATTGTCATGTCGCTTGTATGGGGTGTCCTGTAAAACTCTAAACTCTATTCTCTCCTTATTTAATAGATGAGGCAAATCTTATGCCTCCGTTTCGAAAAAAAAAATACATAGCTACAGGACCTCCGCTGCACAAAGAGAATACAACCATCCTAAGCAACACACAAGGCTTAAATTCTTTGTTGTAACTTCATCTTTGATGCATTTATCCATTTCCAGCTCCACCTTCCTACATGCATGCCTATATCCCATGGCTGAAGTGATTCGCACAACATGAAGTAGTACCTGGGCTTAAGAATGTAGGACACTCAGATTTCCTGGAGGTGTCTTTGGCTCCTTGCCGTGCCGCAAGCGCTTTTCTTTTTGAAAGATCCATCGTTGATGGCTGGCCTATATTGATCTTTAGTAAAGAGCATAGGGGAATAAAAAAGGTGGCGTTCTATTCTATCCAGGGACCTACAAGGAGATAAAAAGAAGAACAGTAAAAAATACATTCCTCAGGCGATGTAGAAACACAACTTCTCACAGCGGGTTCCCAAAGGGGTTCTCTAAGGGCATCTCCAGCCGTAGAGGCCCCCAGGAGGCATTTTTATCGCCTCTTGGGGGCTGCCGGCGAAATTTTTTGCCTGCGATCGAGAAAATATCCACTCGTTCCGCACCCCACGCACCCCCCCCTCTCCTCGAGCTCCCCTCCTCTGCGACAGCGGCTGCTTCCTGACGACGACGACGATGCCGCCGCCGACGGCTGCTACTCTCTACGTGGACGTCTGCGTCTCGCCGGCCTTTCGCGGTCGCTTCCGCCGCAACGTCCCGCAGCTCGCGCGTCCGCCACGCCGGGCGACGAGGAGGAAGCAGGGCGCACGCGTCCGCCCGGTGTCCAGGAAGCAGGGCGCGGCGCCGTCCGCCACGCGACGAGGCGGGGAGGAAGCAGGGCACGGCCAGCCCGTCCGCCACGCCGGCCATGCCGGACTCGGCGAGCGGCGACAGGGGCGTGCTCCTGGGCTGGAGCGGAGGAGGCTGCCCGCGGCGAGCGGCTGGAGCTCGACCCCAACCCGTCGGCAGCGCGGACGGGGGAGCGGAGGAGGCTGCCCGCGGCGAGCCTGGCGACTGACCGCCGCCGCCGAGGACGGAGAGGAAGAGGAGGAGGAAGGGGGGCGCCCGGCACGCCACGCCCCACGCGCCGCCCGGCCTCCCGCCCTGTCCTCCGCTTGCCGGCGCGCCCATGGAGCCCGGCCGCCGCCAGTCGTGCCCGTGCGAGGGACCGGTGCCGCCTGTGTGTGGCTCGTCATGGCCACGGCCGCCCGTGGCCAAGACGGGGCGACACGAACGAGGACGGCGGGTTCCGGGGCTGCCCGTGACCGGTGCGCCCGGTGCCGGGGCCGCCCGTGGCAGGCCTCGCCACCCGCGCCCACCCACAGCGTCGCCGGCCGCCTGGACCACGGCCGCACGCCTCGTCGACGCAGGGCTTCCCGGCCTCCTGGACCACGACTTCCTGGCCGCCGAGTCCTTGACGCTGGCCAAGATGGAGCTCCCCGGTGTGGCCTTTGGCTGCGGCGATACGAACGAGGACGACGGGTTCCTGGCGTGGAGGCGGCGAGCGAGGCGGGGAGGCGACAGGTGGGAGGCGGGCCCGCGTAGAGAAAAAGGTAGGAAAGAGAGGGAGTGGGAGGCTGAATGTGGGCCAAGCGCATGCAAAATCTTCTCTCTCCGCCCCCAAGAGCCCCCCGACAGGCTGGGTTTCGCCTGCGCGCGCCGGCGCTAATTTTCGCTAAATCCGGCGAAAACTAAGCTCCTGGGGTCCCGGCTGGGAGAAAAATTAAGCGCCGGCGGCCAAAAAGTGCTAGTGGGGGGCATCCTGGGGGGCCGGCTGGAGATGCCCTAAGGGGGTTGCCCCTGCCTGTCGCCAAAGCTCTAGGGTTCTTCTAATGCTTGCTGTAATATCCACCGAGCGGGCGACCTTGCTTCTAAATGTGCACTCATTTCCTTGTTGCCATATTTCCCCAAGTATCATAAGAATCATTGATCTTACCGCCTTTTTGTGCTCCGGTATTGCTCCGTTGATCATTGCTTTTGTGATCTCGGTTGCCTTTGTCTTGCTCTGCCAAGAGTCTGGATGAAG